TCGAAATGCAAACAAAACGTATCGTGACCCATTTTCGTCGCTCTGCGGACTCCGCGAGTGCATGCGTATTTATTGCGCTGCCATACGCGCTTGCGAAGTATGTATATTCGTTACGAGGCAGCTTACGTGAGTATATGCACGTGTGATGCCCGAATAACTTCAATAACAAGCTGTAATTTGAGGCAAATATTTGAGAGGCCGTTAATTGAATAATCCGAAACTCTCGAGCGATACATCCCCGATGATAATCCCTTCTCTGTTTATCCTTTTTCAATTCATCGATGTTATATCAGCCTCGATTCGAAACACGCGATACAATTAAAACACGAAGGAAGAATAGCATCTAACACACTCGTCGATAATTAATTTTAGTATTATGTTGTGCGCTCAATTTGGATTTTGGATAAATTCTCCAACTTTTAATCTCCTTACGAGTTATAATGCAGCTATTTGTCAGCTACATTGTTAAATTCATAATTTATTATAATGTGAGTGATTATTTCTATAGAAAAAATGTTCCTTATACTCAACCGTTAATTTAACTAAAACTGTAAAGTTTAACAAATTAATTCAAGAAAATATATTAAATTTGACTAACATTTATTACTTACTAAGTGCATACGTTAATATAGAAATTATTTACTTTGAGAATAATCGTAAAGATGGATTGATTTTGACACATGGAAGTTAAAAACAACAACATATTATTTAATTCGAGGAATTGAGTTGCTATTGCTCCTTTAATATTTAACAATGTTAAAACCTCTATTGTTTGAATATTTCAACATGATATTATACACATATCGTCATTATGTACACTTACTGTTATAAAGATACCTTCCTCTTTAAAATCAAATAATAGTATAGTGTACATATTACGACACATGGACGCTTTATGTAAATTTACGATAGCGCGCAAATATCACCGGCGATGCGATGATTCAGTTTCCTCGTGCGCCAACTCTTAGATCGGTCCGCAATACATAAAACATCCTGTGATAATACCGCGTAGATACCGCGCGTTCGAGAATGTAGGATTGAGCGAATAAGAATGACTTTGACAGTAAAGAGCGCGCCATCGTCACTTCATTCATCTCTGCAGCCGGAGAAGAGCTAATGAAATCCACCTAAGTGTCTTGCGTCACGCGTATCCTCCCACGACGTGTCTGCTCATAAAGGAGTGTTTTTATTCACGGATCGACATATTGTGCTTGTGTGCGCGTCGTAAACTTTGCAGCCACAGCTGCAATTAACGCGATTCATTTTCGACCGTTTTCCCCAATTAGACGAGCAATTTATTTTCGTTTCTTTACAAATGCAGATTAACTTTAAATCACACGATCCATTTAATTTGTTTCTATCTTCTTTTGGTTCTAAAAAGATAAAGTAAATTAAATTGAAATTAAAGTTAATCTGCATGTAGAGTTAATCTAAATACATTGATAGAAATAGATCTTAGATTGAATAAATAAGACATCGATATTACGATGAGACACTATACAAAGATAGAATTATATTAAATTAATGTTCATCTAAAATCTATTGAGATTGATAAAAATACGAAGCTGAAGAGTGAACTGCACTTTTATGAAACTTCGCTTGTTGTCTAACTTTGTAACATCGCTTAAATTATGAATTATAATATATCGCGCGATACTTTCGGTATCTTACGAGAATCAAAACTTTCATGGTGATTTCCTGGTATTCCTTCTCCGAGTGGAGGAAATCACCGCTGCCAAATGGACCGTTGATGTAAGTCTGGCGGTGATTCTCCGCGAGAAATGCCTCCGTTGGCGTACGAGATTGGCTCGCGTTCTGCCAGCTCCTCACGCTTCTTTTTTTGTCCTCTGTCTCTCTCTCTTTTCTCTCTTTCCCTCTCCCTCTACTTTATTTGCGCATATAAATAGCGCGGTCCAAAATTACCGGGTACTTCGGCGAACGGTGCCGCGAAAGTGGAGTCCAAGAAAAGGCCGGCGATTTCTGCTAGTTATAAAAATATACGCGAGAACGACGTGGACGCTCGGTTGGCGACGCGCATTCTTCAAGGAGGGATACGATGAGAGCAACTATGCAAATGAAAAACGCAGAAAAATATAGAGTTATTCATGAATCTTATTTAAGTCTTTACGACCCGAACTGATGTCAAAGATTATGCAAAAACTTGTAGCGACTATATAAAAGGAGAGAAACTTTTTTTTTTTTTAAGTGAGGAGTAAATAGGAATGGATTATCTAACGTCTAATGGATTATTTAACGTTTTAAGACGCGATAAATTTTTCTCAAAATATTAGAACTAAACAAAATATATTAAATTCTTTGTGAAATTGTTCTTTTGACATAAATCCATTTTTGCATGACTATTGAATATTTTCATTTTATTAGTATTGATCGATGCAAATTGTATTCATAAAGTAAAATTTAATTGTTTCTCTAAAAACGCTAATACCGATTGCTAAAACGTAATAAAATTTAATTTCTTATAATCAACGATTGTGTTCAATGACGATGGCAATCCAATTTTTGCGGATTGGAAATTGTGGATTTTAAGTGCTTGCAAATATTTATAACTCGATGGGTTAATCAAAAATTTAAAACATAGGTATATATACATATATACATATATAGGGGAGAGAGAAGAGATATACATATATTCGTTTTGAATAATTTACATAATGACGATATATTATAAAAAAATTTTTTTCAATTAAAATGTGTGTCGCAATATACGCTTTAAAAACTATTAAAGAGAAAATCTACAAAGAAAAAAAAATCAAATCTTTAATAATAATATTTAATGTCTTGAGTAGATATCAAGCTAATTAATTATTTTAGTAATTATATTACGTTATATCTACTAATTTGAATATTTCATAGAATAAATATAAATTAATTTCAAAATATCTTTATATAACTACGATACATGCTAATGATATCAGACTAATGACTGTATCAAATTCAAATTGTAATGAAGTGTCAACTGAATGCGACGTTTAGACTATCGACCTATATACGTCGATCGATCACATAATTATTGCATCGAGAAGAAGAGGTAAATATGCCGAGAGACTATGATTCTATATAATACCACGCTAAATAATTCGTCGTCGATCAGTCGCGCCGGTGGGCAAACACGGAAGGGAAAACTCAGTCGCTTATAAATGAAAATGCAAGCGCAGAGAAGTCTCGCTCGTTCACGTAAACGAACTGTTATGCATGTGTGTATGTGTGTGAACTGTTGAACCCGTCCTAAACTTCCGTTTTCGCATCGTCACATTGCTGTATAATTTCGCGGAGATGACCTGTCGCGCCTTGAATATTGAACATGCAGATAATTGCGTTGGAATCTATTTCCGCTTAAAACGTTGCAGATTTTATTAAACGATGTTATTATTATATAAATATTGTTGAACTTATTTAACGGTATAAAATTTAATTTATATATCAGAAATATTTGTTAGAATTTTATTAGAATTAAAAAGGGCTACTTATAAAAAATACTATGATTATCTAGCTAGCGGCCGTTGAAACTACAATGTATCCTGTGATGTGTACATGCTACGTGCTAAAAGAAAAGTTAATCTCACAAAGGATGCCTTAAAATAACGCATATTTAAAAGCGTGTCTACATCATTAGAGCGGAATCTAATAGAATTGGCGTACCGCAAGATGCGTAATCGAATTTCCTAATTGAATTATTTGCGGAGTTCTTATGTGACCGCCGGTATTTTCCCTGTATGTATCATTTTAGATTAACTATTTTTTCGCTGCGAAGAAAAATATCTATTGATTATTATTAGCGATTATTCACGGTCAAGTATTTTCCCAATCGCGAAAGTGTACTGCGAAATATCTGTCAGTTACTTTCCTTGTGCAGAATATATGTATGATAAACTTTATATACATATATAGACTTTATTTTAATTTAATTAAATTATATATATGTATATAAAATTTATATATATATAATAAATATATGTATATATGTTATATTTTATACCGCTCCTCGATATACATATATAATCCGAACAAAAATTTTACATTTTTATCTAATACGATAAAATTAATTTATACGAAACTGAATGCGCTATCATCTAGGACATGATATACGAAAATAGAATACACCACCGGATATAAATATATCCAACATATTGTATTTTTTACATACATACATATATATACGATTTTGTGCAATTATGGATATGATTCTAACGATGGGCAATATCTAAAAATCGAGATAGGTAACGTTTTTTACGTAACTTTAACATACTATTACATTTGATGTCTCGGTCGTGATTCGATGCAATTATTCGTAGCAAATTAATTCACTTTTGTGCGTCACGTAATTGTTGGTACTACGTAATCGATGGAATAATATAACGCATACCAAACGGCTGTCAGTATTTTCTCATCTCACCAAGAGTACATTAACGCCTTTGTATTTATGGAAACGTCATAAGGCAATTGACACAGTGGACTAGAATTTTCCAATCGGCGTCATCGTGATACTTTACTTGGCGCGACCTCGAACACTTTCCTTATGTACGATCGTCGTCGCACGCGTGTCACACGAACGATTCCGTCGTCATCGTAAATTCGATGCGTTATTAGTGTCGTTACGTAAGGTCACTTTGCACGTAATCAAAAATGTACTCGATGTCTATTACACTCGGGGCTTTTTTACGCTTGTTTTTACCCAACGTCAACAGTCACACTATAGCATCCTGTCACAATCAGAGATAATCAGCAATTAAAATCGGATTAATCGACGCCATGCGCGTTCTCTTCATGGAATAGTCTCAACGATTCGCGCGGAATATCGAGAATCCTTCGTGAATCACCCTCCCCTCTCAACACGGAACATCGTGTACGACGACATCCATTCTCGCATCTGAGTCACCTGAGAACCCACCCGTTCGCCTCGCATGATCTCGCCTTTTCTTTTTCTTCCGACTTTGGCGGTCGGCAGTGATTAATAGTACCTGGTGTTGCACTGTTTGCAGAGACCCATACTGTGGCGATGACAGACCCACAGCTGACCAATAATAATAACAACAATAACAACAACAACAACAACGATGGCGAGCCAAAGTATCTACACAAGAAATTCAAGAAGATGGCGACGACCGAAGTTGCGCCGAAAGTCGTCGAGGAGGGCACGGCAAACAACGTCGTTTCTGACGAGGCACCGAAGCGAAAGGACGACAATAAGGACGGCAAGGAGTCGTCGAAGGAACTCGGCAACAAACTCGAACCTTCCCCGGAGCCGGCAGGGGGAGTCGAGCCCACCGTTGAGTCTCGAAAGAGCGGCAGCTACGCGTGCCCTTTCTGCTCGATGACGTGGACCAAGCCGAGTGTCCTTCAAAAGCACATCAGGGCGCACACAAACGAACGACCGTATCCGTGCGTGCCATGCGGAATTTCCTTCAAGACAAAATCAAATCTGTACAAGCACTGCAGGTCGCGCTCTCATGCACACAAGATGGAGAAAGGAGAGAAGGTACTATATTGATTAAATTAGTAAAATCTAAATAATTTAACGAATTTTGATAAAATCTTGATATTACATAAAAGAACTAATAACGTAGAATTTTTAATGAGGCATTGGTAACTTTCTTATGTTAAATAAACATCATTTAGTTCACTCATTAGGCAATTCAGTATTATAAATACAGTCTATAACATTTTTCTCGCAGGTATCCGAGGATTCCGACATAAGTCTGTCGGATAGCGCCAGTAATGGTACTGGTACACCACCGCCGCCGCCAGCTTCGACGCCCACAACGGCAACGACGACAGTATCCACTGCTGTAGTAAAGACCGTGAAAACCGGCAAGATCTACAAGCCAAAGTTTCAAGCCCGAACAGCATTGCAGTGCGTGAACAGTGACACCGAAACGTCTTCCTTATCGCCCAGTTCTTCCAACAGTTCCTGCTTGTCTTCCTCCACAACTACTTCCACTTCCAATTCTGTTAAACCTAAGGCGGAGCAGCTACAGGAGCATATCGACAAGATTATTACAGACAATCAGGCGATCGTCGATGCGGTGGATCCATGTCTGCACAAACTAATGCATCGCCAACAGAGCCTAGTCGAGACAAAACAGTCATTTGAACAGCAGCCGTTAAACTTGTCTTCCGCGGAGGAGACCTTGAACAACAGAAAGCGTTGTTACAGCGATAGTTGTGCTCAGGAAGCGAAAGATGAGCTTCCGGATAGCTCAATCATCAAGGATCTCCTTTTGAAAACTCGCGGTTCTATGAACGGACCGGTACCGGAGACTGCCGTAGAAAATTTCGTCTGCCCCACTTGTAACATCCCCTATACTAGCATAGACAATTTGGAGGCTCACCGCAGATATTACTGTAAAGGTATTGACAATTCTCGAAAAGGAACCGATTATCACGCGGACTTGGAAAAACGAGATTCTGATTTCGATGTAAAATCTGCCGATTATTATAGCACCTTGCAACCGTTACCCTCGCCGGGTCCTCTACTAGGTAACACTAGACTAGTCGACGCGTATGCTCCGCCTGCCAAGAAGCAAAGAACGGAAACTGTGCCGACCAGTTTAAGATCGCTGGAGGAGCTCAGCAAATACCCGCGTCCAAACTCGTTGCAGATGTTCGGTGGTGAAGTGAGGATCCTCGACAACACGGGCGAAGTAACGAAAACGATGAGGATCGAGCCACGACAGACAAATTCGCCCACGAACGAGCACGTTGTCAATAGCAAGTGCATGAACTCGGAGACGGCGTCGATAGTGGTGAAATCGGGACTTCATTCTGGTGGTACCATGATGCATAAACCGCCGGGAACATCGGCTAGCACGTCCAATTCCTCCATATCTCTGCCCAACGCACCGAAGATATTGGCGCCCATTATACCAAACATATCAACCCCGAATATAGCGCCTACCATGTCCTGTTACGACTACTTGGAGTCACACCTCAACCCGCTGACGAGCATCACTGCCTACAATCCGTTGACTCTGCCGCAAGCTGGTATCACAAGTATCCTCCATGGCGGAAAGGTGATACCTTATGTACCTGGTATGCCCGGACCACATACTCTGACTGGTACGCCGACTATAGACATATCTCCGAGTATAACGGCTGGCGAAGCCGGTTATAAAGTGATACCGGGCCTACCGGGTCTACACATGATACCTCAGCCACTGGACCTGGCTAGTCCAGTCAAGGTACAGCCCAGTACGGTGCCTGGTATGCCCAGTCCGTTGTCTGGACATGTTCCTTCCTTGCTAGATCAGCCTCTGGATTTAGCTAGTCCGGCGAAGGAGTCGATGAAGATCAGTTTCAAGACACCTAATGGCGATAGTCTGAAGAGCGGCTTGACCAGTCCCAAAGTTCCTAACGTCAAGGTCGAAACTTCGACAGACAAGTATCGCACGAGGATGCCGTCAACTCTCACCGGTGGAGAGACCGGCAAAGCAGAGCTCGATCGTCATATCAAAAATAATACGGCCGTAAAATACAGGAGTATAGAGAGTCCGCGAGAGAGGAAGGATTTTACATATGACAAGAGTCCAAAGTTGGACAAGACTTTTAGTTATCCAAATGGCGTGGATCCCACAATTTCTTCAAACTCTTACAGCAAGATGAGATACTCGCCCAAGACCATTTCGGAAAACAAGAAGAGATCATCGAATTGGGGTGTCAGTGAAGTTGATGCTGGTAGAGCACTCCCGGTAGATACGCACACTGCAATCTCTAAGTTAGACCTACCTGTTCACGAGAACGGTCGATTAAAAAATAGTGTCTCTTCGGATACACGTGGATGGATTAAAGTCGCGGACGGATACGGCGCATTCAACGGCGCTAAGATGAAGGCCGACAACGCGTCATCGGTAATACTTGTAAACTTAGATTCTTCCAAGACAGAAGTGCCAACGAAAACTTCCGTAGAATTAATTGTTAAGGACAAACAACCCGAGGCCAAATCGCCGAAGAGCGGCGACGTCGTTAAAGAAACAACTAATGTTAATAAGTTCTTGAGACCCACGTCTCTACCGTTGAAACCTGGCACGTTTACACCGAAAAAGCATCACGGGATCACGCCTACGGCGAACACCCTTCCTCTCATCAGTCCGGAGACTCCGCGACCCAAGAAATCGTACGGACAACTATATCTAAATGGGCATGCTTACACATATCTAGGTCTTAAGTGTTCCACCAGGGTGTTTTATTGTACCTTGAATCGACCGCAGCCAATGTACGTCACACAGCAGCACGGTCTGTCGATGTACTCCAATTGGAAGATATGCAAGGAGGCACCACCAGATGTGGACATGGCACACTACGACTCTCGACATAGACCTCTCAATTACACGACCGCTTGGAAGAAACAAGAGGCTATTTTAACGCACTCTTCGCAAAGACCAACCACTCCCACCAGTCCGGACAGCGGATTGGAAAGTGACATGCAGGAGAAGACGAAAAGGGTGAAGATATTTGACGGAGGTTTTGAGAGTAACGAAGATTACACCTATGTGCGCGGAAGAGGTAAGGAATGTTTAAATGTTGCATTTTTCAAAATTAAACAAAATTTGTACAATCTCCAAATTTTCTTAACGTTCTTATTCTAAAATTAAAATATAATATAATATAATTTAATTTAATTTAAAAATATGATTAATAATATCCTGCTCGTTACTGAAAACACAATAGAGTAATATATGCAAAATGACGGCCAAGGATGAGTGAAAAATAAGATGTTCTACTATAATTAAAATAATTTTAATGTTCGATTTACATTAGTCTATTTTTGCAACATCAAAAGAATATCTAATCGAATCGATACTACAGTCCGTCGACATATTCCGATTTTTTATAATGTAAGACTTTTAATATCAATTGATTTTAATGTAATATACTTTGCGACTGAAGAAGACTCAGTAGGGTCGAAACTAGTTTCGCTAGACTAATGTAAATCGAACATTAAAATTATTTTTATTATAGTAGAATATCTTATTTTTTGCTCGTCTTTGGCCGTCATTTTACATATACTATTCTATTGTGTTAATTTAATTTAATTTTATAATGAAATATAATTTAAATTTAATTTATATTATAATATAATCTATTAATCTAATTTATTTCAATTTTTATTGATAAGACTTTACAGCTGTAATCTTCATATTGTAAAAATAAATCTTCAATTGTTTCATATACTACTTAAGGACGAGGACGTTATGTCTGCGAAGAATGTGGTATTCGTTGTAAAAAACCATCTATGTTGAAGAAACATATCAGAACACATACGGATGTTAGGCCGTATACTTGCAAGCATTGTACTTTTAGGTAAGTTGATGTTCTCACATACCACAGCAAGAGAACAACCATTTATAACTTTATTTGTAACATTGATAATCTACCTATGAAATCATAATTTTTTTGCGACAGTTTCAAAACAAAGGGTAATCTCACGAAACACATGAAGTCCAAGGCTCACTACAAAAAGTGTGTGGAATTAGGTGTAGTACCAGTTCCTACAACTGTCTGCGACGAAAATATCGACAAGGAGGCTATCGCGCGATTAGCTGCTGGTGGTGGTAACACAGAAGAATCCTCAGAGGAGGAGGAAGAAAGTGACGGAGACGAAAGCGAGGAATCGGGCAGCGAGGAGCAAGAAGCAGCACAAAGTCTACTCAGTCTTTCACAACGTAACACGTCGAATAGATTGCCAGGCTTGTTGCCGTCTGGTAGACCCACAACATATCCATACACGCTAACTTTACCGACAACTTCCACGATGAGCATCGCGTCCACTACCGCGGCTACGTCCACCATCAGTCAAAGTGTTACCACGCAAGAAACAACTTTGATCCAAAATGAATTATCGCATCGTTATTATTTCCCATCAAATCGAAATACGACGGAAGAAACGAGGATCAGTGTCATCCAATCGTCAAAGAAAGATGATTCTGACTTCGAGATCGAGGAAATCACCGAAGTCACGGAGTCACGTCATCAGCTGTCGCTGCCCATGGATCTCACGACGAAGCAGACCACTCAGGTGTTGCCCTCGCCGGTCCCGCAAAGGATTAGACACGCGGACATTCTGACACCCGTTTCGGAGCCGGTCTTATTGCAGACGATAGTCCAGACGATGGAACGGCTGCCTATACAGGGTAGAGAATGGAAACCGGATGCGGAGGGCCACATGTTGCAGGCCTACCTCACGGAGAGACATGTGATGGACAGCAAAATTAAGCAGCAGTATCGCGTGGGAAATACCAAGGACAATAAGCAGATACAGGAAAGAGATATTTACCCGCGTCATCAGGATCAAAATAGGTCCAGGCACATAGATTCCAACGGTATTCCGACGGTGACGTATACCGATCCTAGCAAGATGCAGCATACCGTTATGGAATCTAGGATTAAACAAACGACAAAGCATACCAGTGACGACATTAAGATGGAAATTAGGGAGAAGATTTATCAGAACAATATGGCAATGGAGAGACGAATATTCGATTACGAGGCTATTCACAAGAATAAAGAACAGACTAATCGTATGGTTTCTGATCGTGAAAATTTTGAGCTTGGTCTAACTAACGGTCCCGCTAGCACAAGACCAAGTATTGAGTATAGTCTAGCCATGACCAGGAACAATAGTTCGATCGAGAGACCGAACTGTTCTATTGTACCTGTTCGCAACACATCCAGTATTGATTGCCATTCACCGAAATCTTTAAATATAGACGTCAATAACCGACCACAATTGATGCAACATACAAACAACGACATTGACAGAAATTCCATGTTCAACGCGATGAAGATGGTGAGTGAAATGGAAAGATCTAGGGAATGCCATCCTGTTGGTCAGGAAGTAAGATCTGCTAATCACGAGATGAGAACCGCGACTAACGATATTCGAATGCAGAATCATAGTCCACGAAATCTCGATCTAAGGCCGTCTAGTAGAGAGATCAGAACGCCCGGTCAAGAGTACAGAACACAGAATCAGGAATTGAGGCTACCGAGTCAACAGGAGTACAAGATACGCGGTCAAGAGATGAGACCGCCTAGCCGTGAGTACAAACCGTCGTTCGCTCACGATATGCAAGTTATTCAGGAGCTTATGCCATCGGCAAACATGGAAATCCGGCAAGCAAATCCAGATAATAGACCGCCGAGTCGTGATATGAGAGCTCTCGCGGAATACAGAACGCACGCGCAAGATCCACGTGCCAATTACGAAATATTACAGCCTATACACGAACCACCCAAGTCGCAAAACGTAGACGCGAGAAGCACGTCACCGCAAAAAGTACGAATTCTTTATTATGATACGAAACACACTGCAGACATGGTTAAGCAGAATGCATTAGACAGCATGAAACACGCGGTAGCCGGAAAGATAGTCGTCGGTGGGTCAGATTTTCAATCGCCTTCACCAAACACAGTAAACGCGAAACCGCAAGCGGAATTTCTACAACCGTCCAGTGGACCCGCGCCTAACTATGTCAGGTACGAAAATATTTTCAATTATTTTCTCTTACTATTTGTTGACGCATGATGCAAATAATATTATTTAATGTTGCGTTAGAAATACATATTAAAGTATACTAATTTAATATATATCTCTAACGCAATATAGAGTAATACATGAAAAAATGAGCTGGAAATATAGAATAAAATGTTTCCATATAATGCTTAGTTTTTGAGAAAATCGACTTTAAATATTTACCGGGTACGTGTGCACTTGACTATGTCTTGACTCAAGGGTCTCGTGTACGTTATTGCTGCTCGTATTTGTGTTTATAAATACTCTCAATGTCATAAATCGAAATGTTACAAACTCTGTATATAATATATATTATAATAATATTCAAATTTTATTCATTAGAATTATAAAAATAAGTTTAATTGTAAAAACTGAAATTATGAAATATGATTACAGTGTCACAGAAGATGGTAGGAGTGTATGTGGGATTTGTAATAAGGTGTTCAGTAAGCCTAGTCAGTTACGGCTACACCTCAACATCCATTATTTTGAGCGGCCATACAAATGCGAAAACTGTGCAGTTTCCTTCCGGACTAAAGGCCACTTGACGAAACACGAAAGATCCGTTTCCCATCACAATAAGGTAAACAACGAATCAACTTTATTTCCATCGAGCAACGTTATATCCTTTAGCACGAGTGTACGAATAGTTTTATTGTATTATTAGGTCAGTATGACTTCTACGTTTGGTGCAGCGACTACTAGCAACCCCAGACCTTTCAAGTGTACAGATTGTAAGGTAGCATTCAGAATACATGGACATTTGGCCAAGCATCTTCGCAGCAAGATGCATATCATGAAATTAGAATGCTTGGGCAAACTGCCGTTTGGAACATATGCAGAGATGGAAAGGTCTGGCATCAACTTGAATGATATCGATACTACAGACTGTGATAATAGTCTTAATAGTCTGCAGGTTCGTAATAATGAAATCATAATTACACGCGTGGTTTTTAAATTTAACAAAGAAAAAAACATCACGATAAAATAAATTTTTTTTTATCCTCGACAGATGTTGGCTCAAAGATTAGGCGAAAAGGACCCGGCAAAAATCGCGCAGTGGGACTCGGAAACTCTGCCCGGACCGGTCGTGAGTGGCAGTGAGACTTCGTCAGATGAGGGTGAGCCTATACCGCAGCACGCACTTCATGCAACATACGTGAAAGCGACAACGGACGCAGACATCTCTCGACCATATCACATGTCAATCGTCCCCGAGAAACCGAAAGCTATTAACGACGTTCGCCTCCGCAGTCCTCAGTTCAATCAGCATAGACGTGATTACTCCGTTAAAGAGCAGCGACCAATTTCGGCGGTCGTTCCGGAAGACGCAAGACTGGAGGACAGTTTACAATCGTACAAGTGCCAAGTTTGCCCCGTATCTATGCGTACTGTAAATGAGTTACAGGTACACTGTTTTGTTGAACATAATATTGAGACGGATTCTAGTACAAATATTCATGGAGATAGAAGTGCGGGTAAATGTAGGGAAAAAGAGAATACTCAAAAAAGAATTATGGAGGAATTCGTAGTGAAGGAAGATCACAAAAGACAAAGGATAGAGGATACATAGTGCCAAAACAATATAGCGTGCTAAAAGAATTTTTCGAGTGGTGTTTGCCATACTACTTAGAGAAATCGCGGTTATAATAATGTATCATATATGAAATGCATCACAAAGATATCCTAATGAAAAAGTCTCGGTCGTCTTAAAAAACTATTTCAATAGGTTATACTATTAATGATATTTACATATGAAAAAACGTTTCTTGAAAATTAATGTTGCAAGAATTTAAACGAAGCGTTATTAAAAAGCTGCATGCAAATACAAAATAATTTTACGTTGTTGAAATATTTCGCAAATTTCTGAGGACTAACATAATTGAAATATGAACCTGGAATATATTATCGCGTGAATATGTAATGAAATACACATATTAAGTTTATTGACGACGGCGATAAATACGCGATCTCGAGCATGTTTCGTTTACCACATCATTACTAACATTGCCTGTTTATATTACAAACAGATATAATTTGACTTGTATAATCCTCTTTAAAAGATTTTAAACCTTTTCTTTCGGAATCAGCACGTATAACGCATAAAGTGCAGAAAAAAAGAAACGTAATTCGAGTATCTGATATGATTATAATATTTATATACACGATAGTGTTTCTCGTAATAATTGAGGTGCAATGGACTGGTATGTGATTCTATATTTAAAGCACAAATGAGTTACTTTCAACATGTTGAAGAGTATTCTAATATTACAAATTAATATTATACTTTAAATTAGTATATAAAACTTATACACACATACATATATGCATATAAATACATATATATGTATATACATATATGTGTATGTATGTATATTTGTTCAATATTATGCATATAGTATAACAATTATGAGAATTATTGTTGACATAAGAGAAAATGTGTTTGTATATATTTATGTAAAATATAACGAGAAATCATGTTAGTTTCTATAATAGTTTTAAGAAATCAAGAAGCTGTGTCGGTTGCTCAGATTACTTGTAAATTTAAGCGCTTTTAATTCACACAGTAGATTCTTTAGTTTTCCTGTCTTGAAAGATTTTCTTGTAAGCAAGAATCAAGTGATGAGCGTCTTAATAAGTTTGATTTTATCTCAAACATTGTTGAATATTTAGTTACCTCGGTATTTTGATATTACTAGTTATTTTTTAAATCTTAATTGAGCATATTTGTTATGGTCTGAGGGACCGATTCACTGATTCTGTTTAAGATATAGTTATGCCTCCTGTTTTCTCGCTGCAGTTCTATTGAATTATCCACAGCGAAAATTGTCCAAGACGAAAAAAATCATATGAATTTTTCTCCCATTATTGAAATGTCTTTTATCACAATCTACATTTTTTATTAAACAAGTAAAAGCCTCCAAAAAAATTAATTTTTACACGGAAAATAGCTTTACATGATTTCTCGCTGGTGGCCTTATAATACGACTGCAGTGAGCAACTTGAAGAGGCCATACACCTTCCACAAGCGACAGCTACTGTATCTCATAATTAACTGTCTATCTATTCTACGCGCAGTTTTAATATCTCACTCAAGCACGAGAATGTCTTTCCTATTCCGCATAATCAGACTCCAGTTATCACGGTTTGTACCTAATAGGTGTGCTTGAACCAGGATAAAAAGAATAATACGGTAAACGTAGAACGAGACGACCGCCCAGGTATACAATGAAGTCCAGTCCGAGTGATGTTCACACTAAATGATATCAGTGTAGCGTAGTTTAACATAGCATTTTTTTGAATGTATATCTCCTGTCTGTAATTCTGTCGATTCCAACCGTAACCGCGTTAACTACGTATGAGCTTCCAGGATGTGTACACAGCGTGTTGTGTGCACACACCCCGAAATGCCAAGCCAACACAATTTGCGTTTGACAGGATTTGTTGAGAGAAACGATACGCTTTTCGAAGTCGACTTTGGAAATGCCCGGGAAAGAACGTTATATGTATATATGGACATATTTTATATATAATTGTATATAAAATATGTCAATTTTTTAATATAATTATATATAATTATATATATATATATATATGAAACATTTTTTCCCGGATGACGATCCTTTCACACGCGAAACGCGATATTTTCAAAACTTATACACGTGTAACGCACATCTACGTATATACATATTATATACTCTTTCTCTTTCTCTCGGCTACTTGCATGCGTACTTATATGTGATTTCGAAGGAATGTACTTTTTCCAAATTGTAGATTCATAATGCGATATATACATACACATATATATTTTCGAAACGTTGTCGTCCGTGGAAGTATATCACTTCGGTATATTTTCCCGGCGTGCACGTAGCGAGCGTGTCGTAAAATACATATCAGATTCGCCGTATTCCCGGTATATTAATCGGGAGACGGTGGACGACCGTGCGTCTCTCGTCGTTTGAAATCTAAATATGACGCAGTACAAGTTAGGTTTACTCACCGAGCCTTTGTGCTATGCCCGCGGCGACGATAGACATTTCGACGACTCCGAGCAGCCTCGGAAGTGCCCGTTCGTAACTGCGGATGATGAGAATCACGTTCGCGTACCCCGTCCACCACCGAAGACGCGATTATATGCAATTATACGCGGGAAACTCGATTCGCGACACGGGAAACTTCGCGCTCGCGAGAGTTACGGCCGCAACGGACGCGACGCGAATGCACACTGAAGATAGCCGCGATTCAAATCTTCGAGCGCTAACTAGCGTTCCGAAAGCGCGTCCCTGTAATGCACGTTTTTACCAATGTCGATAGTTTAACTTTAATTTTATTTTGACTCACTTTTTATCTTTTTCTAGTTCTGAAAAAAGGATCGAGCGTAAGTTAAACCGAGGTTAAAGTTAATTAACATTGGCAAAAGTGGAATATAAAATGTTTTGTTTGAACGGCCTCGCGTTTTAATTTCGAAACGTATAACGCGCGGAAAACTGAGAAAACTTTTTTATTCGTTACGAACAATCGCTGTTGCATGATCAACTGATCAAATTTGGATATCCGTTGAAAGAGGATATCACGAAGTGAATTTTGAAGCATAAATACAGGGAAGATCAGTTGATTAGTTTGAAGTTTGAACATATCCAAGTAGAACATAAAAGGTCTGTTCGCGTTGCTTGCACTTAACGTCTTCTTTTTCTGTCTCTTTTCAACATTCGAATATACTTTCTATACTGAAATTCACTCTAAAAATTTGATCTCCGTTTGTACCAATGTGGATTAATTTTAATCTGTATTCAACTTACTCTTCATTTTTTTCTAAAAATTCTAATTCTTAGAAAAAGATGAAAGTTAGTTGAATCGAGATTAAAATTAAACTATATTAGTAAAAACGAGTATTAAAGAGTATTTATCTCGTTTTAAATGCAAATATTTTTAAGGATTTCAAGCAACGCTCGAACAAACCTAAAGTCATAGTGACATCAAAATAGCTCCGAAATTATTAAAAATCATTTATTCTACACAACACCCTTATCCAAGAGATATTATGGGAACGTCTTTAGGATTTTCGATGCATTTTAACGTTAAAATGACATTATTGTGACTTGTTGCTCTGCTTGGGTAATTTCGAATTGAAACATCAGTCTTTTGACAGTTGTTTTTGTTTCAAACATCGAATTTTGTTGTAAAACGAGAGAGCTGCTTCGGTGACGAAGCGATAAATTCATGAACTTTTCTAAATAACTAGCGGAAAAATATAATGAGATGTGTCTGATCATAGATATATGTATAAATAGATACATCGCTCGTCTAATTTAAGGAGCCCACTTAGAAGAACAATTCTAATTATGATCGTTAGACGTACACACAGTTTAAATTACGGAAAAGAGATTACCAGATACAATACATATGATTAACAATAATTTTCATGTCTAAATATGCTGTCGATGTTTCTTCTATTTTGAGATAAAAATCGATCAGTTTTTCGCACTGAACGATCGATAATATTCTATCCTTATCTTCCCATTTCAAAACAGATTCGACTGTGCAATTTTTCACGAGCGTGCGATTAATCCGTTTTAATTGTATCTTCCTTTATTCTCGCATATTATATATATATATATATATATGCATATATACACTGTACAGTCTAATAATTCGGGTAAATGTTTGTTAAGACGACTCGACATACTTTTACAATATTTGCGACATTCGATTAAGTAGTCTGTATTGTGATAAGTGCAGAAAGAACCATATGGCGAATATCCTGACTAATATCCTAAAGTAAAAGTACAAGCGTATCTGTTAAAAAGAAAAAAAAGAAGCAGAGACATATTTATTTTGTTGACAGCCGCGCGTCTACGATTTTCACGAAACACGGTTGGCTTGGCTTGGCTTCTTCCAGACTCAGTATTAGATTTTGCGGACAATGAATGGAAATAGAAAAAAAAGATCGAGCTTGTACGAGTTTCTAGATGATTTTACACCGATTTACATTTTACGGAGACAAAAATCGACTACCTGGTCGCCCGAATTTTTGCGGTGTTTCCGTAGAAAAAAAAAGACTCCGCTCCGCTCCATATCTTCATGGATGATTTAAATTTTGTATACGCGAAGCGTGCGAACGGTGACACTTACAAACACCTGGCGGTATAGTATTTTATATGTATTATAGGATCTTTAAGATTTTATAAATGTTTTTTCATGGGAGAAAAAGAGAGAGAGAGAGAGAGAGAGAGAGAGAGAGAGAGAAAGACGGGTAAAGAATATATCTCGTTTCTTTGTGCTCGCACAAAATATGTTGTGTGCTCCTACGAGCTCCAATTGCGTCGACAAACCATCTCTAGTTCAAGAGCGACTTTGTCGTGAAATCTTTCGATTAAAACCATACTGTATATCGAGCGTTTACGCTCGTATACATGTATATATCAGACAATGGGACCGGAGTGAAATTTTATAAGCGTATACTTGAGAAAGTGACAACGGGATTTATGGTAATAACGCCAACTTGTTTTGCCAGTGTCACCGTCATTTCTCTTCCTCTGTGAATTCTGTTGAACTATATTGATGAGAATGTAATTTTTATTTATTGTAAATAAAAGGAACATTGCTTAAAGCATTTTGTACATTATAGTCTGAATCGATATGCATGAAACAAATTCTATTAGATGGAATGTCCACCGGATCCAGGGATTCTAATGCAAATTGTACGAAGAGATTCGTGATAATCCGCGAATGCGTCTTTATACGATGATCTTGCAGAAACGATAGTACAACTTTGGGCGCAGGAAATAATGTAGGACAGGAATAAAGTTAATTTCCGGTAAGATGCAGTATTGTTTTATTAAAAATTAAATAATCTTTATATGTGAAATAACAATTTTAACAGATATAAAGAAAATAACGCTGCTCGCCATTGTCCGCCACTCGTGTACTCATCGTGCATCGAATACAACAAACAACAACTGAAAGCAAGATTATGGAATATGATTAAGAAAAATTTCTAAAAATTCGAGTTTGCTTGATTATATTTAAAAAAATGTCAATCGTGTTAAGTCGAAAACATTAAAAAACACGTCTTTTTGTACGCTTCTTGTACATGATTCTATATCCACATTCTGTACATCGCATTACATCTTTGGCACGAATCTCATGATGACATTCTGAATTAATGAATTAAAAACTTGATTAACGATGTAAAATTAGGTAAAAGAACAAAAATAGTTTTTGTTTTAACTACTACATGCAGGGTGAATCAGAGTCGTTGAACCAACTTTTTACCCTATGAGAAAATTATTCACTTCATACCTAATTGAATTATAATTGTGCAGTATAAATGTGCAGTCAATTATTTTCTCACAGGGTAAAAAGCTGGTTCAAAGACTGATTCATCCTGGATACCATGTTCGAAAAATTGCTCTACTTACAAAGCGCTTTAAAATGCAATTTCCATAAACAATTATTGATATAGTTTATAAAATGCCGAAGTCTTCAAACTTTTTATAAATATACATATAAATGTGAATAATTGAATAATAATTAGCAAGCAATCATATTAAGAGGTTATTTACTAAAATGTGAGGTTACAAAGTCATCAACATGCATGGCCTTACCTCCACAAATGTATATCATAGGCCGGTATTCATAGTCAGATATTCAAGACCGTCTTAAGTACGGTCTCAAGAAGTCTCGAACCAATCAGAAGGCTGCATTAGTGTCTTAAGACATTACTTAAGACAGTCTTGAAATAAGACTCGACTATAGGTGCGTTCCGTATCGCGCATGATGTGCATGATGCATCCATTGTCCTTGTTTAACATTTGGTGAGCAACAAGGATAAACGATGCATCATGCGAGAAACGGAACGCACCCTATGAATACCGGCCATAGCTTGTTTCGGGGTGGACTCAGATTTATTGGACTCCGTTTTAACACTGTCGTGATATAATAAACTAACTGATTTTTGGTAACAATAAATCTTCGTTATATATATCGTAGAATACACAACGTGTTGTCAATGAAATTGCAATACGACCAAATATAACGCAATTAGACAGACTTGACCGACTAGGACCGACTTACCGACTATCAGTTGGGAACTTTTATTGTAGTATCGTGCGCCCCTCGACAGAGAGAAACCTAGGTTCCTAGTCGGTCCTAGTCGGTCAAAGTCGGTCTTCAAATTGCATCGTGTATTTGATTGGTCGTAATGCAGTTTACACGATGCAATTTGAAGACCGACTTTGACCGACTGGACCTCGGATCTCGTTCTTTTCTTAAGCCTTGTGTCCACGATGCTAGAAATCGGTCCAAGACCTCGGATGAAGAAATAATTGACCAATCGCAATGGTCATGTGATCAAATTGTTTAAATATGATTTGTTAATTTTTTCTCTGTCCGAGATCTTGATCTTGGATCGATGTCTAGCATCGTGGACATCTGACTTTACAAGGAGATTCCTTCTCCTTTCGAGGCATAAGGCGCCAATTCAATTTTTCTCTCCACGCCTTACAATTATATCACGACAGTATATCACGATATAATATTAAAATGGAGTCCAGTAAATCTGAGTCCACCCCGAAAGCTATGGTATACATTTGTGGAGGTAAGGACATGTTTATTACTTTCTAACCTCATATTTTAGTAAATAATCTCTTAATATCATTGCTTGCTAATTTTCATTAAATTATTCACATTTATATGTTTATTTAAAAAGTTTTAAGACTTTAGCATTTTATAAACTATATCAATTGTTTATGGAAATTGATAAATTGCATTTTAAAGCGCTTTCTAAGTAGAGAAATTTTGTGCAACATGATATACGTAGTAGTTATTAAGCTAAATTGTAACGAAAAACTGATTTCGTTCTTTTACCTAATTTACATCATTAATCAAGTTTTTAACTCATTATTTTAGAATGTCATCACGATAATGAGATTCGTGCCAAAAATCCAATTCGATGCAGAGAATGTGGATATAGGATCATGTACAAGAAGCGTACAAAAAGACGTATGTTTTTTAATGTTTTCGACTTAACACGATTGACATTTTTTTAAATATAATCAAGCAAACTCGAATTTCTAGAAATTTTTCTTAATCGTATTCCATAATCTTGCTTTCAGTTGTTGTATTCGATGCACGATAAGTGCATGAGCGGTGAACGATGGAGAGCAACGTTATTCTCTTTACATTTGTTAAAATATTTATATTACATATAAGGATTATTTAATTTTTAATAAAGTAACATGTTGTAGCATAAATTTACAATAGTGTGAATAAAGAAATCAATGTTCTTGTTATGTCTGATTCTCTGGTGAATTTTATTGATACATCGAATTTTTAAAGATTAGCATTTGAAAATAGAGAAATCTTAGAAAACTAAACTTGAAAGAGAAATTAAGCAGGATAATGTGACAAAGTGTGAACTTTGTTACATTACCCTACTTAATTTCCCTTTCAAGTTTAGTTTTCTAAAATTCCTCTATTTTCAAACGCTAATCTTTAAAAATTCGATGGATCTGTAAAATTCACCAGAGAATCAGACATAACTAAATTTATCCTAATTAGTTCTAACTTTTTTATTTTAAGGAAATGGATGTATACAATGCTATACATATTTTTGTCCGTACATTGTTATTAAATCCATGCGTACATATATTCAGGCATGTACATAATATACTAATAAAATTATACATCCATTGCCCCAATAAAAATGTTGATTCATTACTCACCGACGCGATGCGCAATAGTGGAGTTACAGCTGCAACGTCGCTACGAAGATTCTATAATAAATAAATTAAAATCCAAATTAAAACAGTAAAGAAATAATCATTACTTTAAAAAATAATTGCTATATAAACGCATGCAGTTTGCTGAAAAATAATCGTGCAATTTCGAAAATATAATTTTTGTAAGCATCGAATTTTGTACCCATTATTTAATTAGATATAAAACAATTATACATATATTCTTTAAAATAATTACATATATATTCTCTCGAATAATCATATATATTCTCAAAAGAAGATGTTAGCAAAAATAAATTTGTATAAAATTTTTAAGTAATTTTTTTTTTATAAAACTTTAAAGTAATTTTTAAGAAATTCTCTTTTCGTCTAATTCTAACAAGTTAAAAATCATTTAAAAATTTTATACAAATTTATTTTTGCTAACATCTTCTTTTGAGAATATATATGATTATTCGAGAGAATATATATGTAATTATTTTAAAGAATATATGTATAATTGTTTTATATCTAATTAAATAATGGGTACAAAATTCGATGCTTACAAAAATTATATTTTCGAAATTGCACGATTATTTTTCAGCAAACTGCATGCGTTTATATAGCAATTATTTTTTAAAGTAATGATTATTTCTTTACTGTTTTAATTTGGATTTTAATTTATTTATTATAGAATCTTCGTAGCGACGTTATTACTTCATAGTATATAATTACTTTATAGAATTATTTTATAGACGATATAATTATTTAAATCATTTTATTTAACAATGATTTAAAAACAACCATTTCTTAATCATTGTCAAATAAAATGATATAAAGACAAGCAATAAAAGGCTAATTTTACACAAGTAAAAAGTAATATTTACCGCAATGTTGCTCCACCGGTGCCTGATGTCTCTCCCAGACCTCCTCCTCCTCCTCTCAGAATATAGTTGCATCCTCTCGCACAGGACACTCGCGTCAAACACTCGCGAATAATGGACTATAATCGCGCGCGGACTATA